ACTGCCCCACCACAACCCCTATGACCATCACAACTATCATCACCATCACCAACCCACCACTGCTACCCCCACCATTGCCACTGCCCCACTCCACCCTCACTGCCCTACCACCACCATCGCTACCCACTATCGATTGCTACTATTATCGTTCATGGTCACCACTCACCACCATCGTCATTTTATTCTTATATTTATTACTATTACCACTATCATCATACTACCACTGTCGTCCACCATCAGCATCCACCACCACTCATCGTCGCTCACCATTGCCATCAGCAACTGTCACCTACCCCACCACACCTACCACCACCACCTGTCATTGTTCACCACTGCAGCCACCCACTGTCACCCACCCTCACCACACTTACCACCACTTCTATTTGCCACCACTTATCACACTGTCGCCTAGAAGCACTTATCGTCTACCACCACCACCATCATCACCGCCCACCACCACCGCTGCTAACCATCATAACCATCGTCCGCTATCACCTAACACTACCACCGTTGCTATCCACGGCTGCCACTACCATCATCGTCACTCAAAATCTACTACCACCATCACCATTGTCATCCACGACTATTACCACCACCACGGTCGTTGCCTTACCCACCACAATCATCACCGTCTTCCACCATCACCACTGTCACCCACTATCACTACCACCGCTCACCCCCCACTACAATCGGTGTTTAAATTTATTTATCTCTCCTTTATATTTGTGATTTAATTTTAGGTGTGAATATAAATATGTTGACCATTTTTTTTATTACTCCGTGCCTTTAGGCACGGGAAATAACTAGTGTTTTTATATAGTCCTTTTAAGCAGACAATGTTCAGATTGCTAAACAATTTTTTATCATAAACTTGTCACGTACTACATAAAATATGGACAAAAAATAATTTTGAGAGTTCTTAAACAAATTTTGAGTAGCTTTTGACCAAATAAAAATGTAATATTGGTAGCTTTTAACCAAAATTTGAGTAAAAATTTGGTTGAGTTATCCCAATATTTTTTTGTCCATATTTAAGTATCACATGACAAATTTATGATAAAAAATTGTTAGCAATCTGAACGCTGTCTGCTTGAGGGACCATATACAAACATATTCAATACTTCACAGACCAAAATGATGCAATTGAAATATTGAGGACAAAAATGAAACAAATTTCATACTTTGGGGATCTATAGTGCAATTAACCCTATATTTTTAGTGTCCAGATGTTTAGTGTCTATTTGGTTCTAAATCTTTCAATTGTGTCTATTTGGTCCATAAAGTTTCTAATTTGTATTTAAGTGGTCCAATCTAAAATATTTGTTAGAAAATCGTGACAATTTTGGTCATGCACGAATCACATGGTTCATAATTTTGCATTTATTTAGTCCCTAAAATTTTTAATTTGTATTTATTTGGTCCATAAAGTTCTTAATTTGTGTCTATTTGATCCCATGTGATTGGTACGTGATGAGAGACATTAACAATTTTTTGACGGAAGTTTGAGATTAGGCTATATAGATACAAATTAAGAACCTTAAGATCAAATAGATATAATTGAAAGATTGAAGACCAAATAAACTCTACACGCATACTTTGAGGACTAAAAGTATATTTTACCCTTTGTTCGCAATGTATTTTTTTCCCTTTTTCCCTCCAAATAAATGAAAAAAAAAACAAATATATATATATATATATATATTTATTTATTTATATTATAAAATAAAGTATAATACAACTCAAATCTCAAAAGATAAATAAAATGACTTTTACTTTTAACGGTTGAGATTTCTATAAATTTTACTTTAAAGTTAATCCGACGACTAATATTAACTATCCAAAATTTAATAGGAAAAATAGGCTCGTAAGAGTGTGTTTGAAGTAACTTTTCAAAACTACTTTTAAAATTTATAACTTCTCAAGTATTTTTTTTTAAAAAAGTAATGTTTGGAACCGCCTCACCACCACCACCACCACCATCATCACTGCCGTCACCATCGTCGCCACCGCCAGCACATCACCTCTACCATAATCACCACCACCACCACTGCCACCCCACCACTACCATCGCCACCCCTACCTCCACTGTCATCGCCCCCACCACTACCACTACCACTACCACTACCACCACCACTACCACCACCGTTGCCACCTCTACATCACCTTTGCCATAAACCACCACCACCACCACCGCCATTGCCACCTACTACTGATTATTATCACCGTCGTCCACCCGCTACCACCCATTGACATCGTCATCTCATTCTAATATTTATTAGCACTAATATTATCATACTGCTACCATCGTTGCTTACCGTCAGCACCCACCACTTCTATCATTGCCCACCACCGCTCATTACCACAACCCACCACCACCCGTTATCGTTCATCACCGTCGCCACCACACCTACCATCACCATTCGCCACTACCCATCATACTGTCATCCAGAAGTACCCGTCGTCGCCCACCACCATCATCGTCGCCCATCACCACCCACACCTACTAATAGGGGCGAAAGCAGGGTGAGGGCAGCCACTAAAAATTCTGAAATTTGTAGGGTTAATTTAAAATTATAATAAAAATTAATTTTTTAATAACTTGCCCCCACTCATTTTTTTTAATGCACTAAAAATTTAGACTCAAGGTTCGCTCATAGAGAGTTAATCTCACAATTTTTTATTTAATCTCTAGTTGTCTTTATTTCTTCTACAATGACTCACTTAAGTTACCAAATCAATCCTTCTCCAAATTTGATTACTAAGACATACATATATATTTTTGATCAATTATCTAAGTTCAAATGTACTACATCATTTTCTAAGATTTTAGATTTGGGCACATAAAAAAATTTGATCTAATTATGATTCAATTCAATTCACTTCGATTAAATGTACTACATCATTTTTTAAGATTTTAGCTTTGGGCGCATAAAAAAATTTGATCTAATAATGATTCAATTCAATTCATTTCGATTCAATTTGATATGCATACACAAATATGTATATGTAAACATTTGATAAAACTAAACAATTAAATTGAATTTGATCAATTATCTAAGTTCAAATGTACTACATCATTTTCTAAGATTTTAGATTTGGGCACATAAAAAAATTTGATCTAATTATGATTCAATTCAATTCACTTCGATTAAATATACTACATCATTTTCTAAGATTTTAGATTTGGGCGCATAAAAAAATTTGATCTAATAATGATTCAATTCAATTCATTTTGATTCAATTTGATATGCATACACAAATATGTATATGTAAACATTTGATAAAACTAAACAATTAAATTGAATTAAAATTACAATGCGACACACACACACACACACACACACACACACACACACACACACACACACACACATATATATATATATATATATATATATATATATAAGATTGGATTTTTGATAAAATTTATAATATTTAATAGATTCGAATATGGATTAAAAAAATGAAATCAGTTGAATAATTAGATTAGATTCAAAATAAGATTTTCAAGACAAATTGTCATTCGGATGAGTCAAAATCTTATCATTGACAAGCACACTCACAAAATGATATGTCAAAATAGCATTCTCTATGAAAATTGTCTTTATTCTAATACTTTAAAAAAATTATTTTAGTTTTTCATAGTCAGCTATCATTTTTTTACGTGTATTTATATGTGAAATCTTTGAAAGTAAAAAAAATAATACGAAGAATTATTTTATAAAAGGTGTTAGATTAGGAAATTTTTTTTTATAGAGAATGAAATTTTGAGATAATAAATATGTTCACTAGATGCAATGAACTTTGATAATTATTGAGTCATCATTTTCTTTAACTTGATGGTTGCCTCCGGTTCTCTTTAACTTGATGGTTACCTCCACTGAAAAGAAATTCTGGCTCCGCCCCTGCCTACTAACACTACTATCGTTACCCATGACTATAACTACCACAATCGTCATTCAAAACCCACCACCATCACCACAGTTGCCATCCCACGATTGTTACGACCACCATGGTCATCGCCGCCCACCACAACTATCACCGTCTCCCATCACCACAACTACCGTCCACCACCACTACTATCGCTCACTCCCACTAGAACCAGTTCTTAAATTTCTTTCTTTCTTCTCTATGTTTATGATTTGATTTTGGGTATAAATACAAATATGTTTATTGTTGACCATTTTTTTATTACTCTGTGCCTTCAACTACAGACAATAACTAGTATATCGATGTAATAATATAGGAAGAGAGTTAAATTTTTATCCCCTATATATTTTTCTTCCCAAAAAAATTACATTACTCAATTCTATAACATGTTCGATCATTTAATATTTGATTAATTTATAATTTAACACAATTTTTATTTCATATATTGTCTAATGTACACTTGTTGAAATAGTTTTGTTGAGTTATGTATTTTGAAAAAAAATGACAAAAAAAATAGGTAAAAATTAATTTAAAATGATGTAATTAAATAAACGAAAAAATAAAAAAATATTATTTAATATAGTGAAATCAATTTTTTAAACACTCAAATTTTATATTTTATTATATTTAAAAATACGAGGTATAGAAATGAATGCTAGATAATAGTTAAATATGTATCAACATAATTACTAAGAGTCAATTCGCATGAATGGCTTAATAATGTGAAATTAGGCATGATCGAATCGTAAATTTAAATGTTAAGAAATTGACCTTCTATAGTATCTTTCGAGCTTAGCTGGGTGAGTCTAAGATTAGTGTGCATTAACAAAAAAAAAAAATAGCAAGAGCTATCAAAAAGTACAAATATAACATTTTGTTTTCTTCTATGATAATTACTACTAAAAATCAACAAGTTTTGTAATTTAAATAGATGAGTTCAAGATTAACCATCACTGTGGAAGAGCGTGAAAGCGCGTGTTTCCCGTGCGTGTGGCTAATCCCAGTTAAAATGTAGTCTCCCTCTCTCTCTCTCTCTCGCTCGCCAGACATAGCAAAAGAACAAAAAATGTAGAGAGAGAGACAGAGAGAGAGTGACTCGGGAGCTGCGCAGAGCAGCACAGCGGAAGCTACTACGACAGGACGAATGCACGAGGTAGCAATCCTCTCATTCTCGAGCTCTTCACTTACTCGTCATCCCCAAAACTAGGGTTTTCGTTTCTGTTTCGTGAAACTTGAAAGAGCTGTGAGACAGACAAAAGCAGCCGGTGTTGTCACTGCACAACCCATCTTCCCATTGACATTTCTCGGGTAAGTCAGAGCATTTCACATAATCGCCAGAAAATGGTTCTCTGTTGTCATTTTTCACTTTTTCTCTACATGGTCCTGAGAAACTTCAGGTTTTTTTTTTGTGGTTTGATGTATGTTTACTCGAAGTTGCAGAGACTACTTATTATGGATGTGAGTTTTGTTTGTTTCTTGTTTAAAAGCTTATTTCTTGTGAGCCTTTGGTCCGCTTTCCCAATGCCAGTTGGGGCTTGAGCTTCAAAGCTCGAGTGTCAGAGGCACTGGGGTTTGAGTTTCACTGGTATAGAGGAGGCTGGTTTTGTGATGTTCTGTTTTTGATTGCGACTGAAATCTGTAGGCTTAGTAGATCTACAAATATTTGAGAAGATATAAAGATTAAACTCATTTTGAAATTCCAGTACAACCCATTTTGCTGGACCATTTTTTTTTCCTGAAAACTTTTCGTTGTATGTTGTTACATTCATCAACAGATCATGTGACTTTTCCTTTTTTTGAAAACATGTTCACCCCAATTGTGTTTTTTTGAAACATTTGTGTTCTGACAGAACTGTTCTCTCTGATTCTCTCTCTCCTGACCAGATATTCGAGTTCATGGTATTGCTCTTTTTTTTTATTTGTTTTTGGTTTTTTTAGTATACAAATGAAGAGAAACTTGAGGATGGTCTACGGTTTGTGGAAAATCGAAGAGCTTAATCTTAATGATACTTGCTTTAGTTCAGAAAGAACTACTTGCTCTTCATATAATATGTGTTTTTTACTTTCATTCTATCGTACCTTGAACAATGTTTATTGGAAAAAAAAAAAAATAACGACACCAAACACACCCTAAGTGGTCCAGTTTTCTGTTTTCACATTGAATATTTATTGTTATGACTAAATAAATGAGGGGATGTTACCAGTTGTACAGTAATCCGGGTAGTTGTTATCATTGATTTCTCTTAGCAAATTCTCTCAATAATTCTTTCAATATACAGTGCAAAAACAGGAGTAAAAAGGAAGAAAAGAAAAAAGTAAAAGGATTGTTTTGCACAATGATATTTGTTATTTGTCCTTTGCTTACGGGTTGGAGACTTTTATGCTTTGCCTTTTCTTTTATGTTTTTTTCCTTCTGTTGTGGTTTTGGTTGGTGGGAGTGGAGGTAGTTTCTGTGGAGTTTCCTTGAAGGGACATGGTTGTGTATTTATTTCTTCGGTTTGGTTTTTGAAATGTTTATTGATTAACAACTAGGTGAACCTTCATGGGATAATTTGTTTGTCCATTCTACTTATTTATGAGATACGTATGTACATGTGTGTGTGTGTCCAATGATTCTTTCTCACTCTAAGGGATCCTCTGAACTATTGCAGGTGCTGTGGGTCAGGTGGGCCTTTGACAGAGAGTGTATTTAGTTTTCCCTCTTTCTGCTTTTACTGAAGAGGAAATTAAATATGCAGACACCAAAAACAAGGTACATTCGCCATTTATTTAAGTAATTTTATGGCATCTGGTCTTCCTTCAACTCTAATGTGCTTCCAGTGCAATTTTCTCTGGTGAAATTTTACGGGCTTGTTTTTTCCAACCAACTGTATGAATCAGTAGGTTAAACTGTAAATTAAATGAAACACTGTGAAACTGCTATTGCATATTGATTCTTTATGTATAGTTATATATTCATTCTGATTTTTGAAGAGTGGGGTTATTTCCTCAACCTTATACGCATGGGTACCTTCTTGTGGTTTGATACTACCAGAAGGGCCCTATTCAAAATTTTCAACTCAGTTCAAACTTATTTGTTGGGAATGTTAGCTCAGTTGAATTTTGGACCTTAATTAATAATAGTAAGTTTTGGTTGGTGGTCCTGGGACTTGAGTATATGGATGGCATCAATGGGCCTTTGGTCCAATGGTACTCTTTACCTTGCGAAGGCTCTACCTTCTTGAGGTCAATGGTTCAAGTCCTCCCCCGCCCCCCACTCAAAAAAAAAAAAAAGTATATGGGTGGCACAGCTGAACAGTGGCTGGTAATGTAAGAAGAACCTTAGAGAATGATTTGTGACAGACAATTATAAAAGTTTTGGGAAATATCACACTGGAACCTAAGAACTGGTAGAATGCAGTCTACTTGGAATGGTATGCCAAAGCTCATTTCAGTAGCTTCTGCATAAGACATGGATTATAGCCACTACTGTGTTAGAAGGTTACAAATACCATAGAAGAGTAAAGTATTGTCATTTCACTTGTAGATCCTTTTCCTTTTCTCCTTGTATCATATTATGTTTAAATATCACCTGATATAAAAATCAGCCCATTTGAAAACACTGTAAACTGCAAATGGGCAAAATTGTGAAAATTTGAAATGTTGGTGTTGCATGAAGTTCTATTAGGTGAAAATACTGTTAAAACTGGACGTGGTGGCTACTAATCTGTTTTAGGGGTGAGACCACCTACTTCGGCAATGCCACACAGAAACTAAGTACACATGCATTCACTGTAAATGAGATTAAATATCCAAATCTACCAATTGCTCAATGTATAACAGCTTAATTTGATGGTGAATCTTTCTTAGAAATGAATGCCTGTGATGGTTGTCATGCACTTAGTTACTTATTCTTGATCTCATTAATTATTATGCATGTTTTTGGTTGATGACGGCCTTATTTTCGCTTCGAGAGCAGAACTGCATCTTTGGAGGTGCCTCAAAGGACATCTTCTGCCACACTTCCCACTGCCCGCCAGCTCAAGGCACCAGGATCAGATTCTAACTCAGTTTCATCTCCAAATCCAGCAAGCAGAACACCTAAAGACAGAAGTCCTAAAGTCATTGAGCGCAGGTCGCCACGAAGTCCAGTAACTGAGGTATTCGATGGTAGCTTATCACTAGAGCTGTAGAGCCACCTTATCTAAAAGCTTAAGCTTTTAGAAATGGTGTAACTTAAGTATTTATACTTTAACACTTGTTATGATTGAAGTAGTTAGAGACGAGTCTCCATGAAATCAAATGTTTTTTTCAGAAAGTTTAACCATATTAAACAGTCAAGCTGTTGTGATATTTTCACTGCATGAAGAAATATAAAGTTTTATATTTACAATCACCATCTGACACCTGTCTGTTAGCAGTCACCATTAGAGCTTAGGTTAATATGTGATAAGTTTCATAGCCACTGCTAGAGATAGCCAACTAAAATAGACAGGTGTCATTAATTGGAGATCTCAAGTACATTGGAACCAGTCCCTTTGTTAGTGGATTATTGATTTTTCAAACAGTTAGATCATGTGGTTTTGTAAAAGCTTTGATCACTATGAGGTACAATAGAACATTTAAGGGTTTCTGTATCAGTTGTAGAAATCTCCACAAGAACAAGATGGTATTGAAATGTTTCATAAGCTTAGTGCAACCTGCTTGAATTTGATGCTCATCAGTCCACACAAATTCAATCTGTTGGCTTTGAGGCTCTTATTGTATGTTTTACATGTTGGTATGCCTTCAGCTCTGTGCCTTGCACACTCTCCTATCGAATTGCACTTCCATACTTCACTTTGACATTATTGTCCGAATGCTTAGTTGCTGTTTTTTATGTGATGCTTGCCATTATAATTATCAGAAGGTATAGAATGCTTCAATTTGCTCATTTAAATTGACCTTGTCTTGTGAGGCCCAGAAGAAGCGCCCAAGCAGAGTGTCTGAATTGGAATCTCAGCTTGCTCACTTTCAAGAAGAACTGAAAAGGGCCAAGGACCAGCTAAGCTCATCTGAAGCATCGAAAAGGTGGTCCCAGCAGGAGGCTGAGGAGACCAAGAAGCAGCTTGCTTCCCTTTCAGCGATGCTCGAGGAGTCACAAAGGCAGCTGGTGGAGCTTTCAGATTCTGAAGAAGCTCGGGTTCAGGAGCTCCGTAAGATCTCACAGGATCGAGATCGAGCTTGGCAGTCTGAACTTGAGGCTGTCCAGAAGCAGCACTCGATGGATTCTGCTGCCTTGGCTTCTGCCTTGAATGAAATCCAGAAGCTCAAGATTCAGCTGGGCAGAATGGCCGAGTCTGAAGCTGCTCAGGCTAGGCATTCAGAATCAGCCCATGCTGAGATTCAGAGCTTAAGACGGGAACTTACGGACACTGTTGCACTGGTTGAGAAATTGAAAAGCCAGATAAGTGATAGAGAGGAATCTGAAGCCCAGGCCCTTGAAGAAGTTAGTAAAGCTCGTATGCAGCTGGAAATGGCAAAAATGACCGAGGACACACTTCGGGCAGAACACCTTAAAGCCTTGGAGTCATACAAATCCTTAGATTTGGAGTTGGAGCAATCAAGGGCTCAAGTGACTTCATTGGAGGAACTTATTAGCAAACTCCAGGCTGATATAGGTAGTAACAGCAGCAAGACTTCAGAAGATCCTTCAGCCGATATCAAAATTACACTGGAAAATGGAGTAAATGAGCATTCAAAAGAGTTAAAAACTGAGCTTGATAATGTGAAACTTGAAGTAGTTCAATTAAGATCTGCCCTAGAGGCAGCTGAAAGAAGGAATCAGGAGGAATACATTCAGAGCACCTTGCAGATTAGAAGTGCTTATGATCTAATGGAACACAAAAAATCAGAATCTTGCCAACGTGAGGCTGAACTGGAGGCAAAGTTAAGTATAGCAAAAGCTGACATTGAAGAGTTGAAGGCAAAACTAATGGATAAGGAGACAAAATTGCAGAGTATGTCAGAGGAGAATAAGGGGCTGAATTTAAAGTTTGAGAAAAACAAATCAGCCGAAAGAGAAACTGAACTCCTGTCGGAGCTGAAGAAATTGGAGACATTTTTGACAGATTTAAAGGCAGCTTTACTGGATAAAGAGACAGAGTTGCAGAATATTAATGAGGAGAATGAGATTCTGAAGTCGGAAATCAAAAAGAGGGAAATGGAGAGAAGTAAAGTGAATTACGAGACCCTTGCTTTAGCAGAAACAGCTAGGGCTGCAGAGCGAGAGGCTTTGATGAAGCTTGGCTACTTGACAGAGGAGGCAGATAAAAATAGTAGAAAAGCAGCAAGGGTTACTGAGCAGCTGGATGCAGCGCAGGCCGCAAATTCAGACGCGGAAGCTGAATTGAGGAGATTAAAGGTGCAGGCAGACCAGTGGAGAAAGGCGGCTGAGGCAGCTACTGCTATGCTTTCGACAGGCAATAATGGGAAGTTCGTGGAGAGGACAGGTTCTCTTGACTACCATACTCTAGGTGGAAAGCTGGGGTCACCTTATTCCGAAGATATGGATGAAGACTCACCCAAGAAGAAAAATGGTAACATGTTGAAGAAGATTGGGGTGTTGTTGAAGAAGGGCCAGAAGTAGATGAACCACTTGGCAGGTTGTATATAGTTTTGCACTGGTTGTTTACTCGATTTCTTAAGTCCTGTTCATGCAGATTGACTCATTGTTTGCTTCTTTACAGGCAACTTTGGTGGGTGATTGTTGCTGGCCTTCTTATGTCCTGTTCATGCAGATTTATTGAAGGAGATTTCTGAACTACTACTTTGCAAACTTTTGTATTGTTATGTGGTAATGGTTAAATTCCTCTTTTGTTTGTCGTTCTGTATGAAGGGTTGATTGTCATCCTTAATGCTGTCACCTTTTTTGTTCAACAGTTTCTGTTTTTTGATTGTTGGGCAGTAATATATGCAGTAACAACTTCAAGTAATCTGAGAGTTGAAACTGTTGGAATGTTTTAGTTAGGACATAATTTTAGGATGGCACTCCTTAAGAAGCTTGCTTGATTTTCTAGCATCGGGCATGAGAGGAGCTAATTATCACTCTTGCTAATGGGTTTGGAACTTTTTTACCCAAATATTGCAGTTTCAACCTTATATATCAAACTATTGTTAAAATCGTTTTTTGAAAACACAATTTTCAATGTGTCAAATAAGTTTGATACTGTAGTATTTGCGTAAAAAAGTTTCAAAACGACAGTAGACTGATAATTAACTCTGCATGAGTTTGAATAGTTGCTATTTTTTTGACTGCTGAGTTTTGGTTAGATGAAAAAAATATGAACTCAGAACTATTCAACCAATTGTACGCGAGGAATGAGAGCCCAACATTGAATAGGAATGCTCTATTTAAGGTTAGTGTAAATACTGATAAAAGGGAACTGTTCCGTTTGCTTCCTTAATTTCTCTGTTAAAAAGGATCAGTACAGTTAGCCTAGCCAGAGAATTCTTCAACCAATTCATAAAATACCAGAATTAGGCTGTGAAAGAAAGAGTTTTGAAGGAAAACGTAGGAATCTGGATTGACACAGACTCATCTGGAACTTTTTGTGGATGTGGTGGTGTCCTTAGTGCTACACTTTGTGATATCACCAAGTGTTGAGACTATTTTAATAAAAGGAGTATTTTATGTGAAAAACTCGATCCCACATCGATTAATTTTCTAAAAGAACTTGAGTTTATGTATTCAACCAGTGCTACTTAGTCATTAGTAATACATTGAGATTTTCACGTGACCAAGAGTGGGACTAATAGAGGAGATATCATCCGCTAATGCAAGCCCAATTAATGTTTGAATAAAATCCTTACGGGCATCATTCCATTTCTATTTCTCGCAGAAATACCCCGAATGGTGCCCTAATATATGCACATTAGATACATATAGACTCTTGCCGTTAATGTCTGTTAGTATATCAATTAGTAAATAACATCTAGACCTTTGAAATTTCAAGTGTGTAATATTTAGACTCATCATGTTTAAAATATTACACTTAGACCAAAAATACACCAATTAAAGATGTAATATTAAATATTTAAATTTTACAATCAAAATTCATATTCTCTTTTGTTATTTTTTGAAATAAAATTAATTTAATTTTTTCATAAAAAATTATAATTAGAACTGTTGATGCCAAAATTTGGACGACATCCACATCAATTTGTCGGCTACGATCACCTAAAGAAGAAATCGGAGATCGGAAAGGAGTTGTGGGGGGTTGACTCTCTATGTCTAATTTAGTAAGTAACCCAAAGTTATAAACTGCGTTTGGAACTCAATTCAACAATTATTTGTAAACAATTATACTGTTTATTGAAATAAAACTAAAAAAAACAAATGAGTTAAACTGTAATGGACACAATATTTTCTATTTTTAATTGAGGTAATTTGGTCGTTTAATAGATTCCATTAATTTCGTAATTAATAAGGGGTATAAGTATAATATTTTAAATTTAAGAGGTTTAAGTGTTACACGTCTTTAAATTTCAAAGGGCTTGAATATAATTTACTAATGGATATTGACGACAAGGGTTAAAGTGCTGCATACTAATAAATTACAGGGGTTTGCATGCATTATTTCAAATGTCAAGGGGTTTAAATAATTTAATAACAAACCTTAGGAGTTTAAGTAATTTAGTGACAAACCTTAGGGGTTTAAGTATAATTTTTCCTAAATAATATATTATATTAAAGATAGTCCTTTGCCTAAATTGCTTTGTATGAGTATGTCAATCATTTATCCACGAAGATCCGATATTAATCCTCTCATACCTACTAATTACATTGCACGCCGTGCAATACGATCTCGACCTTGTCAACAGGTCGCCCTGACACGCCAAAAATAAAAATTAAATAATAAATATTGTCAAACCCACTTTTATTTTATTTTATTATTTTTCATAACTTTTTCATTAAATTTCAGTTTCTGAATTTCAAGGGTCTAAACGATTACTTTTTTTACATTTTTTGATTAAATATAAAAATAAATAAGAAAATATTAATAGTCATCTTTATAATATACAATTTAGTATTTCAAAACAGAAATATCCACTTTCTTATCTTTTATTATCTTTCCTACTGCATAAGTTCTTTGGGCAATATAGAAAGGTATGGTTTGAAACTTCTATTTCATTCGATTGTGCATATTTAAATGAAGCTACAATCAATTATGTTGAACTATTGTATTCTGAGAATGACGCATTGTTATCTATTTCACCAAGTTTCTTTTGTAAAAGGGTGCAAAATTACCTTAAGAGAACGATTTAGTCCGTACCTTACCCTATCGTTTACTTTTTTCTTCAAATTCATCTTTCCCTCCCCCTTATACTTTAAAGTGAAGCGGGACTTGTTTCTCTCTCTCATCTCAGTTTCTTCAACTACCCTTTTCACAAAGTTCTATATTATAAGGGATAGAAAGTGCAATCTCCAAACCCGGCCTGTGCAACATCTAGCAAGCAGTTTCACCCATTCAATAACTAATGTGAAACTGCATCTCATTAGCATGCATCCGGCCTAAAATATGGCTAGGAACCCCCAAAACTGCTTTCCACAGACTAAGTCTTGTTCAGTAACTGTCTGTAATTGCCCACATCCTCCTTGTCACATGCATTGAGCAGCCATGTGCCAGTCATGTGTTCAAATTCAGTAGCCAACCTTGCCTCACGAACCGTTGTGCATGCTGGGTTTAGCCCATGTCATGCAATTCGAAGCTATGCACCCACATTGCCTCAATTGAGCCCACCACGTGCTGCCATGCTCAGCTGGGTGGTTTCATGCTGCCACAGTCTGTACCAATTTGTCGAACCGCATAGCCGCATCACCTTGATTTAATCTCATGGCGTGCCTTGGTACAAGGTGCCACCAAGACCACCATTATACACCCAAGTCAGTTAAGGTGTGACAAGCCACCCCCACCTGAAGTATTCAACGACTTTGTTGGAATGGAGACATGATACTGCCTAATGAGATCTTTGAACTGTCACAGTATCATCTTTTTCAATCTTTTCTTTTCCAACAATAGTTTTGATAGACTCCGCTTTCGACAACGGAGAGAACTTCATCCTAAAAAGACTCATTACTCAAATCTTTCTTGCTTTCTAACAATCACAGCCTCCTCAATACATGCCAAAATGTTACCATACTGCAAGCATAGTGTTTCAATAGATCCATATTGGATTTGGGTTTCTTCTCATGCACTGCTCTTTAATACTAGATTATTTATCATAAATTAAAGCCGGACCAACTATATACAAGTGGGTTTATCATTAATACCTAGTTAATATTTAAAAAATCAAGGAAAAGTGAATTGTAAGGAATTTAGATCATTACTGGAACTGGTGTCCGAACCACATTTTTACGAAATAATTGTTTTACTCTACATTTTTTTTTAAATCAAGAACAAAAGAAAATTCAATTTTTTTTTTTTTGGGTGATAATTGTACAACTGAGAGCAAGCTTTCAACAGCCGAAATTAAATCATAAAATATCACAAGGCAGATTTGAAGTTGTTGGGCCAAAATGTGGCCCAATGACATAGTCAGACCTTATTAGGGAAATAATGTGCCCCAATGAACTGATCTTCTTGGCCTAAAACCTGGCCCAAGCGAGGCCCTGATAACATATGTTGTCGACACATTGTCTAACCCACTTCGTTCCGAGAGTTAGGGTTTTACTCGGCGGCTGTCTCTTCTTCCTCGTTCTCTGATACCCTAGTCTCCCTCGAAGCTTCCCTTCAGTCACCATGGGGTATGCAACTCTCTTTTGATCTCTTCTCCCTCTCTCTCTCTCTCTCTCTCTCTGTGTATATATATGTGTGTGTGTGTGTATTTCACGTTTATAATTATAGGTTTGTGTGAAATCTTAGCTTCAAGTCTATGTTGAAAACTAGACGCTTGCAGTTTTTTTTTCTTCTTCCAGACACTGGTTTAGTATAAATTGTAGTCCCTTTTCTGGTGGCTTAGAGATCTGTGGAATAGAAGAGAGTTGAGAGTCGAATCTCTCGATTTATGATCTCATTGTTTCTACAAAATGAGCATTTGATCTTAAATAGGCCAGAAAATTGAATTAGGATTAGTTGAATGTTCTTTTCAAATTACGATTGTTTTGCAGAAGAAACATTTTTTTTATACATTTTAAAGAACTTTTATTCAGTATAAAAATACTAGCTTAATGGATATAAGGATAAAAGAATAGTATTGGTTACAAAGTGAACGTTTTGATGGATTAATTAGAATATATTCATTAGTAAGCCTGTGCTTGTGTGTGTTGGAAATGGGCTATAATCTGTGTGCCCAGGTGATGCTTTAAAGTAATTCTTGAACCTAAATTAGAAGAGAGTACAGATTAAACAAGGGAAAATTGGAAAGGATCCATTTGAATTTAGAAGGAGATGATGCAACAATTATACAATACACGACCAAAATCCATCCAAAGCAAACGCAAGCTATGGCTTGTTGTCTTGACTGTTATCAGCTTGGTGCTTAAAACATTATTGCCAAGACAACTTGGAGGAGCAAATGAATTTTTGTGACGAACGATCTGAACGGGGGAATGATTATTTGAGTTATGATCTCCTGCAGCTTCTCTGGAGTTGAATCCAATTGGAATCATAATCCGTTTTCAAGATTTGCATTACTTTTTTTAACAGCAACACAGCATTCATAAATGGCCTTGGCCCTACTGGGATTAAACAACTGAACTTTTGTTTTGTTTTATGGATTTGAAATCTGACTAACATTATCTCACAGTAAGACACGTGGTATGGGAGCTGGTCGCAAGCTGAAGTCCCACCGTAGAAGACAAAGGTGGGCTGATAAGGCGTATAAGAAATCCCACCTTGGAAATGAATGGAAGAAGCCATTCGCTGGTTCTTCCCATGCAAAAGGCATTGTTCTCGAGAAGATGTGAGACTGCTTGCTATATATTTCTCTAATTGCTTTCACTATTCCTGTTATTCTTGTCTGGTTATGGATTTCAATATTTAAACTTGAAAATGGCTGGCTGATGTGCAGAGGTATTGAGGCTAAGCAGCCAAACTCTGCCATCCGAAAATGTGCTAGGGTTCAGCTGATTAAGAATGGGAAGAAGATTGCTGCATTTGTTCCCAACGATGGTTGCTTAAACTACATTGAGGAGAATGTAAGCATTTGACAGCCATTATGATCTGTTCTCCTCAGCTGTTTTCTTGATTAAACTTTGACTTATTTGTCACAGGATGAGGTGTTGATTGCCGGGTTTGGACGTAAGGGTCATGCAGTTGGAGATATTCCTGGTGTCAGATTCAAGGTTGTGAAGGTCTCAGGTGTCTCTCTCTTGGCTCTCTTCAAGGAGAAAAAGGAGAAGCCAAGGTCTTAGATTCTGCATTGTTTTGATACCATTTTTATTTGTTTGTCCAAGTACTAGAATGGCACCTCTGTGGACGATCTGTTTTGAGGAAATTTCTTGAAGTTCTTGAATCTATTCTCCAGTTTTCGATTGCTATAAATTTGGATTTGACTTATTACGATGTTGCTCATCTCTTGCAAGTTATACCACACTTACGTAATGCATGAGACTTACAAAAACCCTACTTTCTGATCCAAGAGAAGGATCAAGAATAACAGTAGTCTGGACTTGGTTTTAGATGAAATTAAATGCTAGGGTAATTTTGTTCATTTTAAACTTGATACCATACATCATCTCGCAATGCAAACACAGTAATGGCCTTTAATAATAGATTCTACATACTCTTAACATCCAACTAACCATCAAATGCATGGCATAGAATAAAGCAGTATACTGATTATTATTGTATGGATTGAATTGGAATTAACCTTCGAATCCCATTCCCTGTTATATTTGAACGAGACAGGCCCCAAAGGGTGGGCAGCCTCGGTATCTATATAGTGAATGGAAGCAATTCAAGGAGATGCAATATATTTCATGCAACAATTTTTGCTATACATTGGATTGCTGTAAAGACGAGAGTGCAAGGCAAATGGGCATATGCTGTAGATTTAGAGCTCCATGTCCATCTTAAAAGATGTAACCCTCAAACTGGCGTATCAGAAATAAGTATCCAGAATAACCAGGTAGGTTAATTCTCAGACACGATCTTCTTCAGCGAAAAGAAAAAGCATTAAGACAATGAACTCAAAAATACAATCTGCAAAATGTTATCCAATTTGCAATAATACTAAAAAGAAGCATGTTCTCAAGCTCCTTAGTAAGATGCCCAGACAGACAGAGGCCAAGAAGTGTAGCCAATCCCATAAACATTCAACTTCTTCCCTCTTATCTTCAAAAATTCTTCCATTCTTCTCTCTCCATCACCCAAATGAGAGCCAAAAAAGCACATTGCCTAAGGGTCTTTACCCCTTCCACCTCCTCCCAAACCTCTAAAATCCACACTAAACATAGATATCATTGATCTTGGAGCCACCCAAGAAGTACCAATAAACTCAAATAATTTATTCCACAGGGAGAGTTGTCAAGGACAATGCAAAAATAAGTGGTTCACAGTCTCATCATCCCTATACAACGCATCACTGTGATAAAATGTAATTCAGATGGTCAGAACTTCATCTTGGTTCGAATCCTACTGAGAGGTCCACTAGAGATCAGAAATTGTTGAAGAAACAACAAGATCTTTCTTTTGTCCCTTTCAGACGGGTTTCTCAATCGTGCCCAGAAGCTTAAGTCTTAATTCTTTGAAGTACATCATTGGTATTAGTCTTATCATGAATAATATCCATGCACAAACTTACACCTTTAAAAGCAACTTTAGCCCTCCAAATCTTCAAAGATGGATATTAATGCTTTATAGCTAATGTTTAATAATGATGTAGGCATGTAGCACCAGCCGCTCTGTGTTTTTTGTAACTCTTGCGAAGAACAGAGTAATCTCTTCATCTGAGGCAGAGGAGAGAAAGTAATCTCTAATACATGGGGAGTATGGTAGCGGGGAAGATGAAAATCACCGTGAATCTCTTGATTTTGCTTGATCTTGATTTTCATCTTCCCCTTAACCATGTACCATGCTCTCCATTTATTATCTTGATTTTCATCTTCCCCTCAACCATGCTCTCTAATACACTCAACCATGCGCTCTCCATGTATTAGAGATTACTTTATCTCCTCTGCCTCAGAGGAAGAGATTACTCCATTCTTCACAATAGTTAGAACACCGAGTGGCTGGTGCTACATCATTATTAAGCATCACACTATAAATCTTTAATATGGAAAATGCATATCCTGGCTATCATTAAGCACCAAGCAGTGCTGTATATACTGTGTCAAAGTTCGGGAATGATCAACACTGGTATGGATTGGATTAAAAGCAGGCAATTGAAACAGAGAGCTCGGCCAATCCACAAATTAAATTTTAAAAAGAGAAGAATTTACAAATGCACTTAACGAACTGAAAGTCTCAAAATCCGATGCACAGTGAAATTATTGTAAACGACATGGTTATACATATAAAATTGAGTCGACTCCCAAGGGCCACCCCAGGAACATATCTACGTCAAAATGTCAGTCCTAGCTAGTTGCATAAAATTTCTAACACTCATATAATCCATTCAAGGGGACCATAATTTCTAAGTAGATGACCAAAGAGAAGTCAAATATAATAGATGAATACCTAAACTGGTCTCCATTAATTTTCAAACTCCATTGCCTTGCATAGATGTACCCTTTTTGTTTCGCTTCGAAGCAGGGGTGGAAGTTTTACGTGGTGGCGAGTACTTAAGGCTGTAACTTACAAGTGAAGGTCCGAAAATGCTGAATTTCCCAGCACTGCTGAAAGCAGTGTCAGCATCAGAATGCCTCTTGAAGACCACTTTTGCCCGCTTGCTCTTACTAAGCACTTCAGTCTCCGATTCATTCAATGGGCCAAAGCGGCTAAATATCTTGTTCAGATCTGCTACTGATGGAACAGATTCTAAGTTTGTGAAGTTAAGAATTAGTGCAGTAGGAAAATTTACCTTGCATTCCTCATCCTTCTGGCCAGTTGGCTTCTCTGCTTCCAACCCAATAATTCCATCAGTTGTTTCCTGTTTATTATCAAAGTTCGGAATTATATCAACGGCTGCTTCTTGTTTAAGAGTGGGCATAGCCTTCTCAATTGGGGTCTCAGTTTCAAATAATACTTGCTCCTCAGAGTTGCCCTGAATGACCCTGTCAGTCCAATACGAGTCTTCAATACCCTCAAATCCAAATGTTGCACAATTTTCCAAGTTGGATGACTTTTTTCGTTTCTTATTGCCTGGGACTTTCCCAATGGACTCCTTGCCCGTCCATGAACTGGAATTCTCCAGGCAAATTGATTTTCTGAAATCAGAGAAAAAACTAGCCATTGACATCAAAAAGCCATACCCTTTCATGGGATCTCTGGCAGTCAAGCAGAGCTCTGACAGCATCTCATCTGGAGGAGGGTACTGTGCTGAAATGACCTTTTCTCTTTTACGTGCTTTCCCAGTGCCCAAACTTTTTGCCAGTTTTCCACCATATTCAGCCACAGCTTTTTGAGAAGTTTTATCCTGAGACTTGAGAATTGGTGTTGAATCAGCTAGCAGGCTTGCAACCCTACTAATGCGCTCTCCAACCTCGAGAAGTTCTTTAGGTTGTGAAGTCATTTTACTAACAGATCCCGGTGAGAAATGACTTTTCTGATGCCGCATCATTGAGTCACGAGATACAGAATCAACCGCCTGGCATTTTTTACCAGAAGACAAAGAGGTGATCTTCCTGCCACTATTCTTTTCAATTTTACTGTCATTGTTTTGTAACTTTAAGCTGCTCCCAGGTATCAAGTCTACTATGCTTCTCTCTTTTTTGCTCGGGATTAACCCATCACCAGAGATGTGCTTACGCTTCCGAGATGTACTGTGTCGAATAACTGATCTTATTTTTATAGACGGATCTTGCTCTTCACCTTCAGAACCTGCAACTGCATCCTCAATTACTTCATCAGAATCCTCCTTTTCCAACGACCTAGGAATGCTAGCATCATTTTCGAGCAACCCATCAAAAACTTCTAATACAGGCAGCTGATCATAACCCTTCCAACGATTAAAGGCTAACAATTGAGCTCTGGCAATCAAAAACTCCAATCTATCAGTTGCACCAGATGGGGCTTGAGCTAATTCTTTTAGATACTGGACAAACGTTGTAGGCATAAAAGAAGCTGCACTAGAGAAGTCATCGCTACCGTCTCTTCTACTTGATTCTTCTCGGATACCAGCATTAAGAACAACCTGGGTTTTGATCTTAGCATATTCTTCCTCTGACGAGCATGAACAGGCCAGCCCAAACTCCACCCGCCTACAAACCTCATCCAATGCACAATCAACAGCACGACAAAAAGCTTCCATACTGCTCTGTTTCTCCATCTGAGAGAAATGCATCTGAAATGGCTTTATCCGTGATGCATCATTCCACGCAAATGTCTGGTCCCCAAAATACGCTATCAGATGACCATCTTTCTTAGAATATTTCCTTGCTTTCGCTGATGCAGCAGAAGGATCAAAGATCTGTCCAGGCCACCATGGGTGACTCCTTACCTTGCCCCATACCAGATCAGCCACATGATATTCCCCTTGTTTCTCAGTACGAAGCTCTTTCAATGTAGCAGTCTTAATATTATTATTGTATTTCCGCTGATCAATATCTGTTGCGTCTTGTTCATTTACTACAGCTTGGTTTCCATTAAGAACAACACTAATATTATTATTATTATTATTATTATTATGACAAGCCACGTTATCTACCAAACTATCCAAAAGGGGTGTATCTGCATCACCGGAAAACTCTTCAATCTTGGTTCCCTTATCACCATTTCCATTTCCATTTCCAGACTCAAATTTCCCATATGCGCTAGAGCGAGGACTCAAATCCACAACAAAACTGATCTTATTAGATTTACCTCCAATCTGACGCAAATCCCCTACTTGAGAATCAGAACCTCCCACATCTCCATTCTCAACCCTCCCTACCTTTGTTTCAAGTCCTCCATCTGTGCCAGAAAATCCCATAACCGGACAACACTCCGGGACTACACCAACAGCTGAAACCCTAGCCTGGCCAATTTCACTATCAATGGAAAACCCACCCATTTGATCCTCCTGAGTAATCGAAGGTTCAATTAGGGTTCGAGACTCTGAAATGTCAACCCTATCATTGGATTCAGAGAAGTTAGAACCATACACCTCTGTGTTCGGTTCAACTGGAACGGCGTCCGAATTCAGGTCGATATCATCGAGTTTCATTGACGGTCAGAAACCCTAAGGAATCCAAATATATGCGCTTTATATACATGCAAATTAGAATTCGTTCATATAGACAAGAAGTAAACGAGTGTACCGAATTGAAAACAATGCTGAGAGAGAGAGAGAGAAGAGTGCATACCTGGTTGGAAGGTGTGAAATCTGTTAGTTTCTACCTTCTGTGCGTGTTTGTGTTTGTGTGTGTGTGTGTGTGACAGAGGAGAGAGAGAGAGAGAGAGAGAGAGAGAGAGAGAGAGTTCTTGTTTTTCGTGAGGAAGGAAGTAACTTGTTGGGGGTTTTCCAATTTTGAACGTCAAGATTTTGGTGGACACGTGGCAGTATCATACGGCTAGATCAGTGAATCAAAGGGGGAGAAGAGGACATGTGGTAACCAGCTGGCTTACAACTGTTTTACCAGGGAAACGGCGTCGTACAGGTCATCCTAATTATTGTTTCCGTAAAATGATGTAAATTACTACTGCGGTTTTACTTATGTAGGCCTCAAATTATATCACGTGTATAATTCAAGCAACAACTTGGTTTCATCTCAATTACACTCTTCGATTCTAAAAGAAGAGAACAAATATGAGACAAATTGAATTGCTGATTTTGAGTAGGAAATAGATCAAATTTATTGGTCTGGATAGAGGTTAAGTATATTTGAGACTTAGTAGAAGCGTAATACTACACAATTTAAATAAAATTTAAAAATTATAACTCAAATGTATATCATCCATTGTATGAGTGAGTTTTATCAATTTTTTTGGTGACACTTACTCTATCACACCCCAGTTTGAAAGACCAACTTGGTATTTTTAATATGTAAGTATAACTTAACGCGTGACAAATACTGTGCCTATAATATAATACTACCAATTGAAAATCTCATGAAAGAGATAAATCATACACCTCTATGTCATAGCATAAAACGGAATGACAAACCAAAAAAAAATTATTAGGGAAGTCATCTCGTATATCAACAAGGAAACAAACACTTATATGTACAATATGTACGTAACCAGTTTCTTTAATTTCCTCTTTCTACCCTGCTAGTGTTGTAGTTGACCTAATACTAAATTTTAGTTTCTTGAAAAGAAATATTTTCTTAGTGTATTGCGTATTATAATAAATGAAAATACTAAAAATATGGATCAAATATTATTTCATCAAAATATATTCACAATTTGAGGAGAAGAATAAAAACAAAGTATTTTCAACTTACTTTGTAATCTCAAATCACTGCCAAAATATCAACTTAATAAATAGTTCACATATGCTAGAGTCAACAATAATATTTAAACAATATAAAGTTATCAACAATATTTAAGTAATGTCAAGTTATTACAACATTTAAGTAATGCCAAACTGTCTCATAACAATTGCGCAATATCTAAATTAGCAACATTTAAACAATGTCAACCTGTCTTATGACAACTGCACAATATCCAAAATTAACAATATATAAGTCGTGTCAAGTTATCCAACAACTCTGGCACAGTGGATACTACTCAAATCACAAATTTTTCAACAAACTATAAACTTTTTAACAAAATATATTTGATCCATTATTTACTGAACTTAACATAAATCAAATTATCAAAATTTCATTTTACATAGTAAAAATAACTTATATTAGTCATATATTTTAATTTTCAATTATTATTAAATAATACACTTCACCTGTCATTGCCAATCAATACACCCCTTAGTTTTATACTCGATCCCTAAGTGGAATCGATATAGTATCTTCTGAACATAATACAAATCGTATAACTATACACAATGAGTTTTAACTCCAACTAACTTAACTGATGTAAACGTATGCATATAAACATATTTCATTTTAAGTTTTGTTTGTTCCTGTAGACATTAAAAATTTAATTAACAAATTAATGTTTATAATTGAGCTCAAATCAATTAGATAAATGAAATAGGGTTGAACCTAAATTTTATAAGCCCAAATGATACAGCTCTAAATTTAATTAAATAGGCTTGAGTTGGACGTAAATTCTACAACTCAAATAATGCAAGCCCAAATATAATTAGCTATTTTGCTAAATTAAAATGGACTTAAATTCCATAGGGTCAAATTAAATAAATTTTTAAAGGGTAAAGTGGGTTGGACTTAAATTCCATAAATTAACTAAAGCCTACAATTGATGGGTAGCCCACTACCTAAAGCCCATATAAGAGTAATAAGGTAAAAATACTCTTATATGGATAATTACTCATAGTACTATAAATAGAGGACTAGGGGAGGGCAAAAGAAAAGAAAAAGAAAGGGAGAAGAAGCCAAAGAGGAAGGAAGATCGGCGAAGCTCTGCTCGAAGTTCACTAAAGCCTTACAAGTTCATCTCCGGGAAGAAGAACACACTACTAAGGTCCTTCCTCAAGAAACCCAAATCATCTTGAAGCTATTCAAAATAAAGAACGGTGAGGAGATTCATAAAAAACATCATTAAATTGATGAATGAGAGATACATTGATCCAGCTCTCGTATTCATCAAAGCGACTGATTGAAGAGCGAGAAATACGTCAATCAGGCCCTTATCTTCACCAAATTCATCATTTTCATCAAATTCACCGAAAATCAGAGGATAGTGCATGTGAGAAGCACGCCAAAGAAAGTCAACATCACATCACTTACTTAAAGTCAATCAAATTGACTATTGTAACTTGACAGTATTTTGTGTTAATTTATTCCCGAAATTTGTCGTTAAAAATTTTGGCACGTCTAGTGGGACCCTCTCTTCTTCTCATCTCTTAAGTCAAAAATCCAACTAGCTTGACAACAATGGTAACCAAAGACATCGTGATTCCTCCCACCGACAAGTTAGCGGACCTGGTCGAGGAGTTAATTCCAACAATTCATGCTAGAACAACGGCGGACAAATCTCAACTCTTGCCAGCGATGGAGCATCGCTCTAGGCAAAGTAAAAGGGAGGTTGTTCCAACAAAAAAGAGACAACCTGCCTGTTCTTCTATTGATCTAGAGGAAGAAACAGACAATTCTCTACCCGACACACACTCCAACATAGGCTCAAGGACTGAATCTTACTTTGAGACTTCTCCTAAGCAGAAGTGGGGGAATTTTTCCTTGGCCTCCGATATGCCTATGCTTATGATGGTGACGGAAGCCACTTCATCTGAAGAACATCTTCAATATCTCACTGTTATGATCGAGAGGTTGACCAAAGTCCTTGACGGTAAAGAAATGCAAATCGTCGCACTCATGATCCAGCTTGAATTGCAAGAACCTTCAAAAGGAAACATTCAAGAAACTCCAAGTCCGTTTGGTACTAAAATGCCAAAAAATACAAAAGCAACAACAATATGATCGAGCTGTGACACAAAATGTCATGCGAGATTCTTCACAAATGTCTGTTGCCGTACTCTATGTTTAATAACTTCAACATATGATTGCTGATACAATTCGAGCCTAGTATAGATGAGATCTCCAATTTTTGTTGGTATATGCGAAGCCATATACCAGATGAATTGACAATTTTCAAATGCCAATGGGCTACCAACCCCGATGTTTCAACAGTTTGATGGGACCCGAAACAACATGTTGCCCATTTCATTGAAATATGCAATAATGCTGGTACTTACGGCAACCTGATGATAAAACAATTTGTTCGTTCCTTCAGAGGGGCTGCATTTGATTGTTACACTGATCTAATAGCTGGGACTATCGACAATTGAGACCACCTTAAACGGGGAATTTCTCACTTGATTCTTTAGCACCCGATGAATGGTAAGTCTTCCTGAACTTGCAGGAACAAAGCAAAGAAAAGATGAACCTGTCATTGATTATATTAAATGCTGGAGGAGTCTTGTTCTCAATTGCAAGGAACGCATTAGTGAAATTTCTTCGATTGATATGCGTGTCCAAGGGATGCATTGGGGACTACTCTACAGTCTCCAAGGAAACATACCCCATACTTTTGAAGAACTTACAACATGAGCCAATGACTTGGAGATTTAAATTTACAGGCACAGAAGTTACTTTCTCAGTGACCCTCATGAAAAGAAAGATGTGAAACAAGACGTGAAGAAAGATGTGAAAGCCTCCAAATCAAACAAATCTTTGACAATCTCCACTACACTGGTGAAGATTTTTGATAAAAGTCAAAGATAGACTTCCAAGTCAAATTTAATATCAGACTCAAAAGAAGACAAGACCAAGTTTGAAAGAACTTGAAGAGAAGCATATCCCTTCACTGATGGTGAAATATCAGATATTTTTGATCAACTATACGAGTTAAAGCTTATTGAGCTTCCAATGCCCAAGTGGCTAGAAAAATCGAGAATGGTTGATAATCCAAAGTATTGTAAATATCATCAGATTATTAGTCATCCCCTTGAAAGATATTTTATCTTGAAAGAAGAGATTCTTCGTTTATTGAATGAGAAAAAAATTAAGCTCGATTCTAGTAAAGAAATGGCAACTACAAATGTAACAATGGTCATTTTTAGGTCCTTTGACCCTACACCAATTTCAAACAAAGGAGCACAATCATCACCTCCGATACATTCTAAAGAACTATCACAACTGTTGAATTCTTCTATCTCTTCGGAAGAAATACCATCAATTGAAAGTAAGGAACTTACCATTCCAAAACACCATCAATTGGGGTTTTTATGCCTCGGCATAACAACCCCAACATCCCAACGCTTTATGTTTAGGCATCATCATCTGGATCAAAAGACGAGATTGGGGATGGATGATCAACCTTTGTCAGCAAAAAAGATAAATACCGAATCTCAATTACTAACATAAAGTCATCTAATTTATTAGGCGACTCAGAGCTCATGTTGGGAGCACCTATTTTGAATCTCAAACCAAGTGGGCAGCCTCATTTGGATGATTTTGTGGCTATTGAAAAAGATTTGGGGGAATGGGCTACGGTGAAATCTCATAGAGTCCGTAAGTTACAACATTCATCTCCTCCAACTAATAAGCCAAAACACCCCAAAACAAAGAATGAATCTCATTCTCTTCGAAATCGAAGATGTGGAGGAAAAAGAAGAGTGCCTTCCCAGTCGATAACCATTGATAATGAAGACTATAAGTTATGTTCTCGCACACCTGCAACATTGATGAAATATTTTTTCAAGCAATTTTTTACAAGGGAATCAATGACATCTTATGTGATCAGTGCTTATGAAGAACAATGCATAACTGATGATCCACTAAAAGATTCAGATACCAAAAATGCTTAGAATGATATATTGGCAGATGAAGAAGAAATG